GAGATTCCACCTACCCTGTCTTTGCAGGTCCATAAGTTGCCTGAGGACTTGCTGTTGGGTGGAGCCAGTACCTAGGACAGGCTGCTTGCCCTGGCTAAGCTGGATTAAATTGGTGCTCTAATGGGTGGGGCAGACCCCTAGCCTAAGAGGCCAGAGGAAGAACTCCAATGGCGTCTGCCAGCATCTGTGTCAGCACACTTGTACTAGGTCACAGTAATGGCTTCCACTAATGTCTCAGTCCCTGGAGAGGTCTCACCTCTCACTGAGAGACACTCAGAGCCTTCAGGTAAGTCTCTTTTCTCCAAAGGACTGTGCACCTTTCTTTCTGGTGATTTTAGGTTGCTTTCTGAAATGGGTGAATTGGTGTGTGGGCCCTTTAAGAGAAGGTTTTTCTTTTCTTTTTATTTTTTTAGGACGATCAGCCCTGAGCTAACATCTGCTGCCAATCCTCCTCTTTTTGCTGAGGAAGACTGGTCCTGAGCTAACATCCATGCCCATCTTCCTCTACTTTATATGTGGGACTCCTGCCACAGCATGACTTTCTGAGTGGTGCCATGTCTGTATCTGGGATCTGAACTGGCGAACCCCAGGCCACCGAAGCAGAACATGCAAACTTAACCACTGCACCACCAGGCTGGCCCCCAAGAGCAGGCTTTTCTTTACCTTATGTCTGAGAGCTTTTCTGGGGGTATTCCCCATTGTAGTTAATAGCCAACAAAGCCAGATATTATGACACTTGTCTCAATTGTGCTGAGTCCAAAAACTGCTTTTAGTGGTAACACTACCCCCGACTCCTCAGATCCCCCACTCCTCCAGGGAAGGCTTGTACCTTAGGATTGCTCCCAGCCTGCTGTGAGGCACCACGGCTCACAAAGGTGGCATTTTTTTCTCTCCAGAAAGGAATTTCTGCCTGTTCCACCTCTGTCATCACTGTCCCCTGTTGTGGGAGTTCTTTTTATTCAGTTTTCAGTTCTCTCTCAGGGGTAACTGTTCCAAAAGTAGTTGTAAATTTGTTGTGTCCATGGGAGGTGACTTCAGAATCTGCCTACACTGCCATCTTGACACCATCCTCTAGACTTTTTCCAACATATATGTGCTAGAAAAATACACTGTTGGCAACTCCCTTTTAAGATGTCTCCAGTGAGCACTGAGACAAACTCCCAAGAGATCACAGAAGGTTGGAAACTGCATTCTCACTCTGGATTACCATAAATTTCTATCTGTGTTAATTCCACACTGTACCTCACTTGAAAATAATAGGTTTTATCACTCTTGCCAGATCAGAAGTTCTTAAGAGGTCATCTTTGCATCTCTCTCCTCCTCTCCATCTCCACTCCCAAACATAACAGGCTTTCAATGGACATGGACTGAGGTGACGGTAAAGGAGAAAGGTATGGGGCTCAGAAGGCAGAGAAGGAATGTTCAGTTGAAAGGAAAATACAAAGCATCTCCAACAGGAGAATGTGAACCACCAGCTCACAATGGGGGACCAGGAGTTGTGAGATCCATAGCATGAACATGGACAACTTCCTAGAATATATTCATTGAAAAAAATCATATAACAGTTATTGAGTGCTTACTAGATGCCAGAGCCTTTTCTCTAACCTATCTTTTCTAATCATTTTCTGATGTATTACTAAGTAAGGACAGTCATTATCCCCATTTTTCTGATGATGAAATATAGATACAGGGAACTTGTCCAAACTAGAAGGGTAGAATAAAGAAAAGGGAAAAAAAGAAAAATACACTGTGAGTTTTTACAATACATATATAACAATGTACATATTGTTCTGCCTCTTGCCCTTCTCATTGAATAAAATGAATGCAGGATCTCTCTGTGAGAGCACATATAGATCCACCTCACACCACCCTTTTAACTATTCTCTAGAATTCTAAAGTGTATGTGCATGTGTGTGTGTGTGCCATAATTAATTTAACCACTTTCCTCCTGATGGAAACATAAGTTGTTTCCTATTTGTTACTATGATTAATGGAATTGAAATAAACAACATTGAACATGGTTCTGGGACAAATGTGGATGTTTTCTTATATGAAAGAGGTATGAATGTGCAAATTGAATTAAAGTGCAAAGAGTTTGATGATTGTAAAGTTTTTGAATATTTCTGAAATTGTATTCCAATAATACTGCACCAACTCATATTCTCACAAATTAATTTATGTAAATACCTTATACTCTCACAGGCACTTACTTTTATCAATTTTAATTTTGGGGCAACATTTTTGGTGCAATTATATTGTCTCAATTTTATTTCAATTTGTATTTCTCTGTTTCATACTTAATTTGAGCAGAAAATTAACATAATCTTTCATTGATATGAAGCAGGATTTCTGCAGTGATGTCTTGATTACCAGGGTACCTCTGGATGCATGCTTTAAGAATTCTAATATGTCCATAAGAGTTTTCCCTTTACTTTGATAAGCAAGGATTTGTCAGAGCGACCAGGTGCCAAGAAATGGGCTTGGACAGGAGAACATCAGTAAAAGGTAAAAAAGGTACCAGAAGGAGAGAAGGCTTAGAATCTGGTGGAGGGTACTAGACAACTTTCATAAACAGGCTAGGGAATCTCTGAATCATCATTACCAGCCTGAAATTGTAGTGATTTGAGTGGGCAGATCTATTGGGTGAAAGGACCAGAGGCATGCCTGATAACCCACCAGCCCTTACAATACTCACTGCCCACTGTCAGGCAGAGTATAGCTGGCTCCCCTCTGTGACCCACCAAGTGATGCTATTGATGGAATCTGAGAGAGCTTTATCTCTTCACTACTCTGGTGGTTCCGTGCATCTGTGCCAGTGTACCAGAGCTGGAGCTGTCTGGATGCCTGATGGAGAAGGCTATTTCTTCTTCTGTGTATGAGGCTCTCCTTATGCTAAGATTGAGGCTGCACAACTGGGTGGGATGGGTTGGTGATTCAGGACAGTTAAAAGAGGGCAAGTATTACCAATGAGTAGTGGAAGGGGGCGTCTAGCTGCAAGGAGGGGTAATTGGAGGGGGAATTCACTGAGGCTAATTATCTCAGTGACTCTGTGAATAAAGGGTTGAGTTTAGACATGTCTTGAAAAACAATTCAAGTGTTATCCTTAGCTCAGATTGCTTCCTGTGGTTCTTGACTTCTTTGCACACCAGAGAGTAGATGTACTTTGGCTGTGTTTGGTGGTCTGTGTTGCTACCAGATACTGACTCGAGTAGGGGGTGGCCCACAATGCAAACATTTACAGGGTGGATGGAGAACAATTGTAGATGGTGTAGTTCCTTGTTAAATTAATTGGGTGTGACATATATATGTGGTATCCAAAGTTATATCTTTTATATTGTAATAACTCCAACTTGGTTGAATTAAAATAAAAAAATAGATTCTGTGCTAGCCATTCCCCAAATCATCACATGATCTATAGTAAATATAGCAAAATCTAAAACTTAGAGGTGAAGTCAGTGGACCAGCCTGTCAGACTCAGGCCAGCAGATGGAGGAATCCCAGGCCCTAACAGAAGTAAAATGAGGACTGAGTGCGGTCAGAAGGAAACAGTCATCTCAGAACAGAAGCTGCCACCACACAGAGCCCCATCCCTGTTGTCAACCTTGGGAATCTCCAGAAAGAGGTAGCTGGAAAAGGCTTCCCCTGAATTCTTTCTCTGCTGTCTCAGGGAACTGAACACCTTGATCTGAGGTGGGCAGCATCAGGTCAGCAGAGTGAAGAGTTCCAGTCTCTGCCTAGAATTTAGGTAAGGTCCCTGACTGAATTTGAGCGCAGTCTCACTCCAGAAGAGACTGGACCGCACAGAGTCTCGCCCCTGCTTTCAGTCCTGGCAGGCTCTGTGTAGGGATTACCCCGAGTACTGCCCTCTAAATTTCCCCTCTGAGGACTCAGGAAGTTGAGGGCATTGGACCCGGGTTGTTGGCCTCAGAGCCACAGAGAGTGTGGTCCCCTGCACTAACAGAAGTAAAAGTGAGGACTCTGTCTGATTTCTGAAAGAATCACCCAGCCCAAAACAGGTGGCCTGCTCCTGCTGTCAGCTCTGGGTGGCCCCCATATGGTTGTGAGGTTCAGAAGACTCTTTACTTCACCCTCTGGAAACTGGAGAGTGACGTGGGGAGGGCTTTGGTTTAAGGCTAGTTAACCAGAGGGAGGATACCCAGGACCAGCCTGGAGTCAAAAAAAAAAAAAAAACAAACACCGCAACAACAAACAAACAACAACAAACAAACCCTACGTGAGTTTCAGAGGAATCCCCCACGACCAGAACAAAGTCAACCTCACAGAACCCCGCCCCTGTGTCAGCCCTGGGAGACCCCAGGCAAATTTAGAAGAAAGTAGCGCACTCTGATATCTGCCTTGGGGTCTCAGGGAAGGGAAGGCATTGGTCTGAGGGGAATGGTTTCACCTACACTGACGGAAGAGCTCTGGGCTCCGCCTGGAATTAAGGTAAAGACACTGAGTTAGGTGTGAGAGGACCGGTCACTCCAGACTTAGAGGGGTTCCCAGCGAGTTCCGCCCCTGCTATCGGCCCTGATAGAACCCAAACAGGAATCAGCTGATGTAGCGACCTCCAAGTACCTTCTAATTTTCCTGAGCGGACTGAGGTGGATAAGGGCATTGGAACAGCGTGTAAGCTTCAGACCAGCAGAGGGACGGGTTCCAGGCCCTAATGGGAGTAAAGGCAAAGACCCTGAATGAGGTCTGAGGGAGCCACCCACCCCAGAACATAGAGGGCCTCATAGAGCTCCGCCCAAACTTTCGTTCCAAGAGGCTGCAGGTTAGGTTGGATTGATGTAAGTCACCCTGACTTCTATCTCTAGTGTCTCAGGGGATAGGAATACCTTAGAACGAGAGGAAGACAGCTTCGGGTCAGGAGAGGGAGGAGCTCCCAGGCTCTGTCACGTGCTGCAGTGAGGACACTGAGTGATGTCTCAGGGAAACACCCACTCCCAACAAAGGGAACCTCACAAAGCCCCACCACTGCTGTCAGTCCTGGGGGGCCTCGGGTAAGGGTGTGAGGCTGAGATACTCTCTCACATTGACCTTGGGCAGTCTCAGGAAAATGAAATCTGGTCTGAGAAGGCAGCCTCATTGTCACTAAAAGGAGGGAATCCAAGCTTTTCCAGCAGTTAATGTAAGCACACTGCGTAAGGACTGAGGGGACCACCTACCTTAGAACAGTGGGGGTCACAGAGAGTCCTAGCCATGCTGTCAGCCCCAAGGGTACCTGGGCAGATGTGTTAGACTGAGGCTTCCCTAAATTTCTCCTCAGGACTTTCAGAAATTTGAGGGCCTTGTTCTGAGGATATAGGTCTTGGGTCAGTAAAGGGAGGAGTACCCGGCTCTACCAGAAGTGAAAGTGAGGGCACTGAGACCCTGAATTACCCTAGGAAAGAGAAGGTCCCACACTCTGCCTGTGCTTTCTTCCCTGTGCATCCCTGGGAAGGTGTGATAAGGTGAATTTTCCCTCACTTCCTCTTCTAGGGTCTCAGAGTGATGAGGGCTTTGAAATGAGGGGTCAGTGTCAGAACAGTAAAGAGGGCCTCCAAGTACTGCCACAAGTGAAGTGATGACCCTTAATGTGAACTGAAATACTCCCTAGCTCAGAACAGAGTCATTGCTCTAAGACCCAGTGAGCCCCAGGAAGACCTGGGGCCTTACCTCCAGGAGCTAAGGCACACCTTAATTATTTCCACAGGGTCCTCAGGACAGAGGCAAATCAGAGAATAGGAGCCTTGTGGGTTCCTAGAGCAGTGCCCTCAAAGAAACCTGCAGAATCGGCCTTCGATAAAGCCAAGGTTGTATCTTCCTGTTCAAGTGGCCCAACTATCTCATTCTCTCCCATTCAGGTCACTGAGTCACCTGCCCTTTGCCTGCTGCCTTTGTCGAAGAAGTCATCATGCCTCGGGGTAAGAAGAGTAAGCTCCGTGCCCATGAGAAACGCCATCAGGCCCGAGAAGAGCCTGAGAATCTGGTGGGTGTTCAAGCCACTGAGGGAGTGAGAGAAGAGTTCCGCTCTTCTTCCTCTCTTCCTCTTAAGAGCTTGCCTGCTGCTGGGTCATATAGTAATCCCCAGGGCCCTCAGAGAGCCACATCGACTGCCACTACCACTGCAGCTGTTTCATACACAAGATCGAATGAAGGTGCCAAAGACCAGGTGGAGGAAAGGCCAAGATCCTCGCAGGCCCAGCCCATCACTGAGCCCTTCCACAGAGGCCCACTAGATGAGAAAGTGGTTACATTGGTGCATTACCTTCTATACAAGTATAAAATGAAAGAGCCCATTACCAAGGCAGATATGCTGAGAAAAGTAATCCAAACGCACAGGAATCACTTCCATCAGCTCCTCAAGAGAGCCTCGGAGCACCTGGAGCTGGTCTTCGGCCTTGACATGAAGGAAGTGGATCCCAACCGGCACATCTATATCCTCGTGAACAAACTGGAAGGAAGCTATGATGGGAGGCTAAGTGATGACAGAGGAGTTCCCAAAACTGGCCTGTTGATGACTGTGCTGGGTGTGATTTTCACGAAGGGCAATTGTGCCACTGAGGAGCAAGTCTGGCAAACGTTGAATGTGATAGGGTTATATGAGGGGAGGAAGCACTTCATTTTTGGGGAGCCCAGGAAGCTCATCACTAAGGATTTGGTGAAAGAAAATTACCTGGAGTACCGGCAGGTGCCCAACAGTGATCCTGCATGCTATGAATTTCTGTGGGGTCCAAGAGCCCATGCTGAAACCAGCAAGATGAAAGTCCTGGAATTTTTGGCGAAGGTCCATAATACCGTACCTAGTGCCTTCCCATTCTGGTATGAAGAGGCTTTGCGAGATGAGGAAGAGAGAGCCCGAGCCCGAGCTGCAGCTACGGCTCATACTGCTGCCACGGCCAGTGCGCATTCGAGTGCCATGGCCAGGGCACGTTCCAGGGCCATGGATGGTACATGTTCCAGGGCCATGGCCAGCAGCTCCTCCCACCTTTAATAAAGCCTGAGGCAGATTCTTCATTTTGTTGTTAAAAAGAGAAGTGCACATTCTAAGTAGGAAAAGGTGGGGGTGGGGCTGTAGACAATAGTGTATAACACATTTGTGTTTCTGTTCTACGTGGTAACTTGGATAATTTTTTAAAATATTGTGCCTTTTAATAGAAGATTTAAGTAGCTTCATAATCCAAATTTATGAATGATATTGCTTGAACATTTATTTCCGTGAATGATATTTAAGAGGAAGAGTTGTGTTATTTTGTAAAACAAATCCAGAAATGTGAAAAAACTCAGCAGTATAACAGTTGGAGTAAAGAAATGGATAAATAAATATGATAATTTTAACATTATATATATACCTGGATATATTTAGCTTATTCAAGAATGTAGGAGAAATTATTTTGTAATAAATTAGGCGTCTTTCTCAGTGACCCACATTTTTTTCTCCAACAATAATTGAGCATCTAACTCTTTGCAAAGTTCTGTGTTAGTACTGGAAATACTAAGATGAACAAGAATCATCTCTGCTCATAGAATTTTAACGTCTTGGAGCAGCAATGATGTAAGGAATATTATGAGAACACTCCCTATGACCAAAAGGACAAGTTAAAAGATGGTGTGAGGACTCGGGGATTTTAGCTGTGAGCAGTCAAGTGTAAATGCCCTGTGGCACGGGGGTTTGAGAACTTGGGAAACTGAAAGTCCTTCAGTGTGAAGTAATTTTAATTAAGGTGGGTAGTGGGTCAGACGAGTTTGAGTTGGGAGCAGGGACCAAAACCTCAGAAGATGTGCCTCAGATTGAGACCAATGCCTGGAATGGAAAACTGCTTTTAGCACTTACTTTAAGATCACAGTTAAAGCAAAGAGAAATCTTCACCGGGGACAGGAATGGAAGAGGTTCTGTGCTTTTGCCCCAGTGCACGCCACAGTCCACAAACTAGATGATTTGTGCGCATCATAACAAGAGAATGTCTCAGAAATGAGGGTAATACTCACAGGAGACGAGACGCTCAGAAGCTCTGTGCTGGCAATCTTTGCCCTGGGCTGGGAGAGGCATACCCCATCCATTAAATGGGCATTTTCATTAGGTTATCTGGAGGATAACTTGGTAAACTCTACGCTAGAACTAGATTTGTGATGGAGGTGAAATGGTTTCAAATACAAGTGTTTTGGATGGAAAGGCAGATGTAAGGGAGGGATGGAAATAGACTTGGACACAAATCCCAGGTGTTCTGAGCTGCATCAGACTGGGAAAGATTCTCCCACCCCAACAATAAATAACATATCCTCAAAAAAGCTATGTAGCAAGTAGCTTAGTTTAACTTGCTAAGCAACCTATTGGATGATTTCGTGTGCCACATCCTAGAGAGCTACAAATTCTCTGACATTTGCTGGATTAAAAAAAAAAATCCCAGAGGGGATGTTGGTAGGTTTTAGGGTGAAAATAATGATATTAGTAATTAAAATTTATCAAAACCCAATACACACGAGACCCTGTGCCAGTGTCTTGCATTAAGTTAGACACATTCCAACATTCCTACTTACAAGATATACGCGACCCAAGAGCAAGAGGACTACTTATCAAACCCATTTCATAGATAAAGAATCTGAGACTCACCGAACTTTGTGATTTTCCTGAATTCACCTAGCCTGTAAATGACACGGCTGGGACTAGAGCCCTGGTCTGAATTCCTCTAGAGCCCACACTGCTCCACTCCCCCCAGCCGGAGGCTGACCTTCTGTCTCTTAATGCATTTCTTTTCTCAGTACTTCACAGCGTCTCTCCAGAAATAAAAGGAAGGAACCTGCAGCCAATGTACTAAACCCAGGTGTATTAATAAGGTGAAAATGAGAATCAAACAGTACGTGGTGACTGTTTATAGGCCGTATTTGCCTAAGGGCCACTTGCCCCTATCCCGCAGCGTTCTTTGAGCGCTGATTCTGCCCAGTGCTGATACATGAGACTAGTTCCATCACTTTGCGAAATACATTGCTCTTGCTCTGGGGCTTTCCCACGGTGCCTTCTTGTCCAAATCTGGATCCTGACCTGCTGTCCAGCTCTCCCCTGCTTCCTTTCATAATGCTGCACTCTGCTCCCAGTGGAACAGAAAGCTCAGAATCACTCGCCTTTCCCCCTGACTTAGGGCATTCCACCTCCCTGCAGACGGCCCTTGTCTGTCCATCCCTGACCACGGAACCCCTCTGATAACAACAGCCCTGTCCACGTGGCTGTTTACTTTGGCAGTGAAGTTTGGATGTCTGTTCATCGGCTCTGGGCACCTCCACCACACTCAAAGTTTTTTCCAAATTGGCTTGTGAATAGAATCTGATTTGGCACAGGATCTACTGGTTCTTGAAAGATAACCTGAAGTTAGACAGGAGGTCTTAGAAAGCAGATGAGCTTAGAAAGAAAAGAGAATTTAATGTGATGACTTATTTGAGACTGGCCAGTGAATCCATACACTGATGAGTGAGCTTAACTAAGTGGCCAAGAACCAAAGCCTCCCTCCTAGGTGGCAGATGAGGAAAGACTGGGGAAATCACTGTGTAGCAACCATTTGCAGAGGCTGGAATCTAACAGACCCTGTAGTCCTTCCAGGAGGTTGTACTACTAGTATTCTACAGTTGCCATAACAAATTACCACAAATTTAGCAGTTTAGAATAACACACATTTATTATCTCACATGTCTTTAGGTGAGAAATCCAAGTTGCTTCTGCTGATTTCTCTGTTCTGGGTTTCACAAGGCCGAAATCAAGCTTTGAGCTGGCAGGCCTCTCCTCCTGAGCTCTGGGAAGAACATCCTTCCAACATCATTCAGGTTGTTGGCAGAATCCAGTTCTTTGTGGTAATAAGACTGGGGCCCTCTTTCCTTGCTGTCTGTCAGCTGGAGCTCACATAGTTTCTCCAGGCCTCTCTCCAGTCTTCGCATGTGGGCCCATATATTTTGAGTCAGCAATTAAACACTGAATCCTTCTCGTGCTTTGTCTCTCTCTAACATCCTCCTCTGCTGCACCTCTCTTCTGCATCCAGCCAGAGAAAGTTCTCAGCTTGTAAGGGCTCACGTTGTTAGGTTGGGCCCACTCTGATAATCCATTATAATACCTTTATTTTAAAGTTGGTTTCATAACCTTACTACATCTGCAAAGTACCTTTGGCCATATAACATAACATATTCCTAGGTTTCAGGAATAGGGTATGGGTATCTTCGTGGAGCAATTAATTACTCAATTATTCAGTCTTCCGCCAATGTAGAAAATGTCTCCCTGGCAGACATGCCAGCTTTGGTAAGAAAAAAAAATAAGCCACCATCATTCTCCTGATTCTTGTCTCTCTCTGCCCCAGGGGAAAATCCTGGTTTTTCAGCATGTCTATAGACACCTGCACAAGTGTTCAGGCATGCTCTTCAGGTGGTGGGTAGCAGAGACTCACAAGTTGTGATTTTGACCATGCAGCAAAAGAAGAAGAAAATTCTCAGTGTATTAAGACTATTGTACAGGTAATTGCAGAAAGGTACTATTCAGTGACAAAGGTGACCCCTCCCTGCTGAGATCTAGTGTCCTTCAGAAAACTGGTGTGACCTTTATTTGAAAAGACCTATCACATAGTAGGCACTAGAAAAATTTGGAGTGTTGCAAAGCAAGTTTGGCCTTCTCAGAGAATGAGGAGGGCTTTTGTATACAAATTGTAAGTGTTTACACTTTGCTGATTACCTACTCTGTAACTGTTGTGGAGACACTGCAAGTGTTCATCCACATGGTGTCTTGCTCTCATTCCTGGGCACATGGGCAGATTCTATTGTGCAGTCCCCTTGTATTAGGAAGGGTCATGTGACAAACCTTGCCACTGAAATATGAACAAAAACAATATCTGTCATTTCCAGACTAAGGCATTTGTGAGTCAGTATGCTATCTCCTATCTTTCTGTTAAATTCAGCAACAAAAATGCAGAGCCTGTGTTGAGATGTGTTGAGCAGCCTGGATCCCTAGGTCACTTGACAGCAGAGATGCCATCTACCTGTGTCAGATTTTATGTGCATGAGAAAGAATCTTTTGTAGTGGTAAGTCATTCAGATTTCAGCCTTCTTCCATTACATCCATTAGAAGTTACTCTATCTGAATAATACATAGCTACTATTTCTGATGTTAGCCTTATTTAAATATACTAATTACAAAAGAAATAGTGTATATATTCTTTTTAATTTTCAACACCATCATTTATTTATTCATTGAATCATTCATTGATTCCCTTATTCACTCAGCAATATTTGAATTTTCTACCCTAAGTGAAACAGTATTCTTTGGATGATCATAACAGAATATTAGCTCAACAAAAAGTTCCCCACAGAAGATAACACAGATGTTTTTTAACAAAATTGTCTGCCTACCCACCATGTCCCAGAAGTGAGCAAAGGTCTGTAAATTCATGACCCATCTTCACTAAATACAGAATTAAACCTCACCCAGTGTTTTTACCTCTTTACTTCTATTACTCTGTAACATGGAGTATCTTTTACACTGAAAAACAAGAGGATAAATTACAGAAGCACCTAGAAATGCTTTGAGTCAAACTCTGGAGTTTGTCCAATGTGGTTTCGATCCCACAGGGTGTAAGATATTCCCAAAATACGATACCTTTAATACCTTCTGATTCTTTTTTTTTAATTGATGTCACATTTTGGTTTATAACAGTATATAAATTTCATGGGTACATCATTATATTTCGACTTCTGTATAGACTATATTGTGTTCACCACCAAAAGGCTAGTTTCCATCCATCACCATACAAATGTCCCCCTTCACCTCTTTTGCCCTCTCCCCACCCTCCTTCCCTTCTGGTAACTACCAGTCTTTCCTCTGTATCTGTTTGTTTGTTATTTTTTTATCTTCCACACATGAGTAAAATCATATAGTATTTGTCTTTCTCCATCTGACTTATTTTGCTTAGCATAATACCGTCCATGTCCATCTATGTTATTGCAAATGGCAAGATTTCATCTTTTTATTTAATG